GATTGAACAGCTACAACAGCTTCAGCAAAGGTTTTCTTCGGAAGCCAAACAACTTGCTGACCATCATGTGGATGTCTGCCATCTGCTCTTCGCTTTTCAAAGAAGCATCCCTGGGAGCCGCTTTGTTGGAGAAGATCATCTACATATTCGTGGTGAATTCTGGCATTGACCATGAAGATGGTTGCATTGGCTGGCTCTTCCTTCCGAATGGCATCATTGAGAAATTGTCTGTCCCAAATGTCAAGGATGTCATGGGCTGGGATTTTCCTCATTGCTGGTGTCTCCATCAGTTTGCGTACTGGGCCCCGAGCAACTTCATCCCAATTACCTGGCCACTGGTCACGGTAAATGGCTGCGCGGACAACTGCATGCGGTGTCTCTTGAACGGCGATAGCTTCTGCTGGAGCATTTCTCACAATTTCTTGTGTTCCGATCTGGAGCATGGCAGCTGAAGCGATGATTGGCTCTTTCGTGGCGTTACATAGTGCAGGCACTTTGACCATTTGGCTTTGAGTGGGGATCCTCATGTCATGATGGTCTAGGATGAGCAATGCCAACCCTTCACTTGACAACGGTGCTTTCAAGGTGAAATATGGGATAGCTTCTTCAATATTGACAACAATGACACCTTTGCTGCTGGGACTGATCTGACCCGGGGCAATTTGACCAACTTCCTCACCGTTTTTCTGCTTGAAAACAGCATGGGGAACAGAGATCTGATCGGCTTTCAGTCGCAGTGGGATGTCATGCACCTTTCCCTTGACCTTGTTCTGTTTCCTTCCAATCGGTTTGCCTTCGGTGACCTTTTGGTTGATAAGGGCCTGCAACTCTTGACTGTTGACGATCCGGATTGGAGGTTTACACATACTTGCTCTGGCCTTGAGGTCCGCCCAGGCTTTGGGCGCAGCCAGAATTCTTTGGATTGCATTGACCCCAATCACTGAGATGAGATGATCTGCACATTCAACACTTCGGCTTGCAGAAACCCCATGTTGTTGAACTAACTTGGAAAGGTCCTCAGCCACTTTTGTCATGCCTCCTAGAAGGATGGGATGCGTCAGAATTTCTTGATGTCGATTCTGTCCAATCAAATATGCATGGAAGTTCATTCTCCAATGGCATGCTTGCTCTGGTTGGATAGCCTGTGATGGTTGAGCTTCAACAATCTGATTAATGATCCACCCTAGAGTTTGGAAGCCACAATCTGCATCGAACACCTGACGGATACCTTGAACCTGGACTGACACAGCGTCTGGACCAATGCATTCACGTACGCACTGCTGCAGCAAGTTCTTCTCCATAGGTGTGGTGACAATCTCGGGCCTTTCCTGTTCTGGACGTGCAACAATTGGAAACCAATGATTGTTGAACAAAATTGGGGCACCCTGGATCTTGTTTGTCGACTTAGCAAGGTTGATCAATTGCAAAATTGCCTGGCACAAGTTAATCTTGGAAGCAAGTGTATCATCATGCACAATTGGCGGATGGATCCCGGCTGGGTATGCCCCCAATGTCTGGACATAAAAACTCATTTCATCCGTTGCTACCCATCCTCTCTGCTTCCAAAGCATGTCTTCTCTTGTGCAGGGACCTGGGTTCGGAAAGTTCTGAACTCCATCTGGCAAATGTGCTTGGCATCCATGTCGCTGGATAGTGCTGACCTTTTCAACCATGACGACCGCTCCTGGGTACACTTCCGAAGCCACAGAAAGTTGAGATCCTACTGCTGTGTTGATGGCATGATGTGCACCTGCATGTGGTTCATTTGCTTGCTTGGCGCATGTGACGGCAATTTGACCAAAGGACGTACCTACATCGACGTGGATCAACTGGGGGACTGATTGGCCGTACAAGACAAAGACTGGGACCTTCTCGGCTTGTTCGGACTCAATGTTGGATGGACTGCCTTGCTCACCGATACATGGGACACATTCAACATGTTCTTTGTCAGGGCTTTCTGACTTCGCAAGCTTCGGCCGCTTTTGGATTTCATCATGCTGATCATGCAGGCGCTTCTGAGATTCAACTTTTGCCAGTCCTGTGGAGAACCCTGGAACACCTCCTTTCTGAAAACTTTCAGATTGGTCAGCTCTGGATACTGTTTCAATCTCCTCACATTTGGCGATGAGGGCTTTGTCGAAGTCTTGGGAATTGTCAGTGGAGTCAACACCTTCAGCTTGGAGGTTAACCTGTTCTGGTCTAGGCGAGACTGCGCTTGGGATCTCTTCTGCCGTGGCTTCCCAATGTTCACCTAAGTGATAGGATGGCTCTGAGTCTTGTTGATCATGATTGCTTTCGTACATGACATGCTGTGACAATGCAACGGCTGGCTTGCAAGTCGGTTTGGGCTTGCTCACGTCACCGGTTGAATGGGCAACCGGGGCTTTCCTGACTACATGCATGTTCCTAGGCGGATTTGACATTTTCTGGCTGTCATTGGCATTTACGGATGGACCGACACTGGGCTTGATTTTTGGACGGACTCCCAACCCTCCGACATGGCTATCGGCCCTTCTCGGGTGATCGGATGCATACGGATGCGTCCCTGCCTGAATGCTTTCATGTGGGCTATGTACATGTTCCGGGGTGCCTACAAAAACCCGCCTAGATCCGGATGCAACAGTTGGTGCAACACTGGCAGCAGTACTGGGACTCAGGTCATGCTTTTCATGTGGACTTGATTCATGAGGACCATCCTTATGGCTTCTACCAATGTCTGGGACCTTGTCATTTTCAGGATTGAGGGATGCCAACACTGTGCGCGCGAGGACTTCATTGGGATATTGTGACCGTACCCATTGTTGATAATTCTTGTAGTCCTTCATGATAGCATCGCCTTCTGGATTTCCCCACAAATGAACAGCCCACTCAAGACGGATCATTGACTCAGTTTTGGGGGGGTTCTTGAACATGAGATCCCTTGCATAAAACAACTCACTTGCCAACCTTTTCATGACTTGGAGTGGTTTCAGATCCTTTGTGATGAGTCCGGCACAAAACATGTCATGGAATGCATGTGACAATACCCATGCGGATTGAAAAGGTGAACCGATCTGGCCAATTCCTGCCAATGCAAACCTCGGTGGGACATCACGGAACCCTTTGGTAAATGGGTGGACTCCGTTCACCAACGCAACTTCACTGACATGCAAATGCCGCATGCAGTTGACAGTTTGACCCTGGACTTCACATTTTTCATCCAGTGGAAGCAACTGTGCATAGAGGCCCTTAGTTTCAATTCTTTGTTGGGTGAAACCTCTCTGACGACATCCGCACTCACATGCTCGTAGCTGTGATCCCCAACTATGTGTTGCTGTAGGCAAAGGCTTCAATGGGTTGACTTGATGTTCAAACATCCCTTTCTTCGTGGTTAAAAAGGTTTGCAATTCATGCTCGTCCAACTTGAGTGATTCTCTATCTATCCCTTCAAGTTCTGGCATCAAATGAACAATGGCTGGCTCAAACGCAAGTGGAGTGATCTCTGGAAAACATCGGATTTGCAGACTTGGATGAGATAATGTTGCCCACCACCGATTCCGTTTGGCCGGCCACACATGATGAAGGCCCAACACTTTCTGATGTAACACAAGTCCTGTTTTCTTTGCAAAGTCTTTCAACATCACTTGGGCATCTTCTGAAGTCATTACGGCTGGTGTACATTCCAAAATGGACATAGGGATCTGTAAAAAATGGATTGTCATCAGCATGCCGGTCATGGACCTACTTCTCTCATCTTGCAACTGTCGTTGGTCACCCAGTGCAGACCATGGTTGGCATGAGATACCACCTGACAAAATCCCAATTTGAAATGCTGAAAGCTCGATCATTGTTTTCGATTGAGAGATGTCACCCTCAATCACTGTCTTCCCTTGCTGTCGCAGCCAGTCAGCAAAACGTGAGTTCACCTCATTGACCTCATCTACCTTGCATCCACATTGTTCATAGCCTTGAGAAACTGCCGAAAACCCCGCACATGTTTCCGCAACTTTTTCAAACCGTTCAGGATTTATGGGTTGATGTCCTAGGACGACTGTCTCATCTGTTCTTTTCAACCAGATCACCCCATTGATGGAGATTTTTTGAACTTGGAAAAAGGTCGCCTCGACAAAATTGTCAAACTTCACATCTGTGCGAAAAGATTGTTTGAAGATCTTTGATGTACAAACAGCGAAACCAGGACCTTTGATGTCAACCTTTGCCACAATGTTGATGAGTGATCCATCAACTGTACTAGGCAAATCAGCTTCCAATTCCATGGCACCACTGAAGCGACCCTGCCCAAAGCTCCGTCTGAACCGCCCTACTCCTGGAAAGATTTGGGCCTCAGGGCTACTATTAACCATCATTTGCACTTAGGAAATAGTTTTAGGAAACCCCCCGTGATTATAAGTGATATATATTATAATCAATAGCAAACTGTTAAAAATGGTTATATACTCTGGTATTGAAAATTGCTATTGATAATAATTAAATTATATACTATTTCAAAGATATCAACTACGTGCAAATAGCAAAAATTAACATACTATCTGTATTTATACATTACTAACATACTACATACTATATAAATGTTAAATTACCAGAGGGTATAATGCCTCATCATTATCCATATATTCACCATCATTACTAACCATGGACCATCATTAACCATCCATCAACATTCACTAATCATCATTAGCCATCATTAACTATCATTATCATTACTATCATTATTATATCACTATCTATCATTATCCCTATTATCATTATATTATAATTATCTATCACTAACCATTATTATCATTATTATTATCACTAACCATCATTAACTATCATTATCATTACTACCATGATTATATCACTTGTATACTTATCATTAACTAATCCATCAATTATGAACCAATGGTATATAACTTTTTATAGTTGTATCAACATTCACTAATCATCATTATCAAGGATCTATGAACCAATGGTATCACTAACCATCCATTAACCATCAATCATCTGCTCATCTGCTGCGCCTGTAATGGGCGTGAAGCCAGCGCGCCGCAGCACCTGCGCGAGCTCGGCGGCGTCCACGCGGCCGGAGCCGTCCACATCGGCCTGGAGATGCACAGTGAAAGATCACTGGGATTTACTGGGATTTACTGGGAAAACCATAGGAAAACCATAGGAAAACCATGGTAAACGTTTACAAAAAACTATGGTCTAGATGGCCCATAGAAATAGATGGTTTACCGAACTTAAAAATGGTGATTTTCCATGGCAAACTGTTAGTCATAACCAGAGGGTTTTAATAGATTTTATGGTGCTGCGCAATCAAAAATGGGGATTCTATGGAATCAGTTGCAGCTTAATCCCATCACCCTAATAGAATATTAAACACCTCGAAATGTTTTCAAACATGTGTAAATTCCCTATTACAGAACGGTTTGTTGGATGCATTTAACATTAGGGGAAGAGGAATTTAGAAAACGGAAAAAGTCAATTACCACATTGATGTTTTTCAAGAAGCCCAAAATTGTAGCAGTGTGGCAATTAGATGAAATTATGGGTTTCAGTTGCGGGTGCATATGTATAATTATGTATATATATATATATACCTCTCTCTCTTTGTGTGTAGATTGTATACATATGTGTAGATTATCTAGATCGTCGGCAATATGTGAATATTTGGCGATGTGTAATTTGTGGGTATCCATCTTTGGGCCATCTTTTTCAGGTCAAACCTCTGGTCCACACTAGAATATATAACATATATATATACTGGTTGGTGGTTGAGCCCAACCCGAATGGTTAATATACTGTTAATAATGGTTAATATATGGTCAATGATGGTTAGTAACCTTTTCTGGTTGGTGGTTGAGCCCTACCCCTCTGAAAAATGATGGAGTGAGTTCGTCAGTTGGGATGATGACATTCCCAACTGAATGGAAAGTCATAAAGTTCATGTTCCAAACCACCAACCAAATATATATATATATATATAAAGTATACTTTAATAATATAATATAGATATAATAGTATATGTATGTTATATATTGTTATATTATACATGTGGTAAAGTAGGTTTGTTCACCCACATTGGTCCAAATATGGTATAATCGTCGGCCCATGATCACGTCTTGTATCATCATGTTCGACTCTATGATCGACAGTGGGTTGACCTCCGAGAAAACACTGAGGCTTGATACTCACAGCATTTTTTTTGCATGAAAACACCAATCAATTCATGCTATCTATCAATGTTGCCAATAGATGCCAATAGAACAACAGAGACCAACGGTTCCCAACATTCTGAACCCCAATTCCTCTTAGCATCTTAGCTTTGTTTGGATCTTGCGAGGTCTGGCAGAACAGAAGGGCCTCCGCAAATTTCATGCGAACGTAGTTCATGTGGCACGCTTCGTACTCGGCCAAAAACTTCGAGAAATCTAACCTGGTGTCGGGACACCGCTGACAATGTCCAGATCCGCTTCATGCCATATGTTTTTTTGTGACATCTGAAATTGAAGTCTTTCTCAATGGAGAGGCCCTATAGGCCCATCTTTTCGCGTTGCAGAGTCGCCACCTCCGCGGCTTCGCAGCGGCTCCAGGGCTCCAGACGCGTCCAAGAAGTTCCGGTCCGAGAACTTGTCCTTCACGATGGCGCTGACCCACTCGTTGTTGACCTCCACGTGACCTGCGCGGAGTTCTTTCAACCACTGGGGACGGCTGACGAACACGGCCACGGGTTAACCCATGGCTGTTAGAGATGGTTATATTATGTCTGATTATGTTCGATTGTCGGAATTAAGTCAAAGTGTTCAGTGTTGGTTGCTGCCAGATTTCTTTTTGGCCACGGGTCAAGACGGTAGACCCAGGGAAACGACAGAAAGTCGGCCATCAGCTTCTGGGGAGCTACTGAGGAGCTACAAATTTAGTCACCGAAATGCCTGTTGTGCCCATGAACGATGGGATGACTGCCGGTGTACATGTTTATTCTGCAACCCAGCATGACTCCGTTCTGAAACTGACTTGCAATGACCGGATGGAACCATAACGAACTTGGGCTACCCAGTTCGCACTGAAACGTTGATCAAGCGTCCTTTGAGTTGCAAGAATCCTATAGACCTCACTTCAAGGGAGACATTTCCGACCTGTGTTTTCTCCATGCGTAATGCTTTTCAAACTCCCCACATGGGCCAGTAAAATCCAGTAAATTTCTGCAAATTTCAATGACAAAACTTCCTCCAAGCCATGGATTCCGTGTCCCTGGCCTAACATCTTCAAGGCCTTGTAGAGATCTTCACCTCCCAGCGATCGTGAAAATATCAGGCCATTTTTTTTTCCATTCAAATGTTCCCAGATCCAATGAAATCCTGTTTCATCCATGAACTACCATTGAATATCCATTAATTACCATTGAATCCTATTGAATTCCATTCAATGGTTGTATATGATCGACCTAAAAAATCTCTCTGTCCGAGGCACGGTTGATCTCACCACCCTCCGCGAAAGCTCGGAAAACATCTCCTGGGCGGTAGGTAAATGTGTATATATATATATATACATATGTATATATATATATATATGTATATATTATAATATATATATATATGTATATGTATATCTATATATATATATCATTTGCATGTATAACCAATGTACGTGTGTACATATATATATATGCTAGCCCCCCCAAAACCGACGTTTTTGAGAGTTGGCACATTTAATATATCTATGATCTGATTTTTGCAAGTTTGCTTTTTCAATATCTTCTACAACATCTGGTATTTGTACATAACCTTTAGGATTTGCAGCAATATGATTAGGGGAATAGATGGATTGAAATTGTGTTATCTGTTTTTTTACAACAGAGTATAGCATATGATCTTTATCTTTTTTGATGAATACCACTTTTTGTAAGGTAGTTTGTTTGTAATTTTGTAGTGACTATTTAATTATCTGTAGCAATTTGAAAGGTTTTAGCTTCTACCAAAGCTGAGCTTTGTGCAAGATTAGATGATATAGTTAGTGCATCTTGAGATTTTACATTTCTATTTGCGTTAGATGTTGCAGGTAATAAAGGTGTATATAAAAAGTACAATAGATATGTATAAGACTGATCTCCAGTTATATGTTCTAGACATATTGATTTTATAATGCAATTACCTTTTGAATCCTCCTACAATTTCATAACATTCCACCAAGCTTTGCATAGTAAATTGACAATAATCAATCATATTCTCATTTGATGTTAATTGTCTTATTTGTTCTTGTGAATCTACATTATTTTCATTAGTTTTCTTCAGCATCTACAATCTTTTTTGGAGAAGAGTTGATATTTTTTGCTGTAATAATTCATGTTTAAAATCTGTATAATGTAGATGATCTTGTAATTTCATTGCTTTAAATCCAGGAGTGCTTGAGTTAGATACATTATTTGTTAAACAAAAATGTTTTTGATGATAACAAATTAATAAGTGAAAAAAAAAAAAACTAGATCGGTTTTTAGTATATGTGTCATATTATAAATTGTCTTACTTTTTATAGTTCTTAATTTTGTGATATGTTTATAGGTATTAAAGGAGTTTCTAGCATTGGGTGAATATGTATTTTTACTTCGGAAGATCATATATTTTTGTTGGTTCTTTCAGCTCTATATTCTGAGGATCTAGTTTTAAATTACTCAACTTATCTTTTAACATGAATATTTTTTCAGAATGATTTGTTTGTATTTTTGAATGATAATATTCTACCATTTTGTGATGTGAACTTTGATAGCATTTCAGGGTTTTTATAGTCTATTACCTTTTTTAAAACATAAATTGCAGCCATGGTTTTTAAAGAAAGTCTTCTTTGCCGATCTACCTGCAACCCTTTCTAATACATTTTGTTGGGAAGGTTTTGATTGATCTGTAGATAAAGAGGTATTGCTATCGGATGAGTTCATGTATTTTTACCTATTATTGTTTAATTTTCTTCTTTTTGTTAAATAAACTATATACTGCTTAAGATCGCAGACGGTTCTTGTTCAATTTATTTTACTTTTATTATGATGAATCTAATTGCCTTTATTGCATTTTTTGGCCAAGTTGATTGATTTGCTTGGAAAGCAAAGACAAAACAATGGGCCTTAGAATTTTGTTTTACAGGATAAGCAAGTTTGTTTATTTGAGGAATGTCCTTAGCAGACAGGCCCATCAATTGAAATAAATTGCAAGGAATTGCAATTTCTGGTGACTAAAATTATTCTAAGTATTTGGATTCAAGATTCAAGGTTTGCAAACGTTTGCAAACGAGACTGGCTCAGGATTCAATATTCAAGATTCAAGATCCAAAAAAAACTTCCTGAATCCCGGGGCTAGGATCAGGAGAGTTTCTGGATGCAAGAAGTCTTTTTTTTGAATCTTGAATCTTGAATCCTGAGCCAGTCTCGTTTGCAAACGTTTGCAAACGGTTCTGGTGACGAAATTGCTCTAAGTACCTGGATTCAACAGTAAGACAACAATTAATACACACATATGTATATATATATGGTACCCCCCACTGGAACTCAAACTGAACACGGTAATTTGTCCCAGAAGCGTTGCGACCTCAAAAACGTCGGTTTTGGGGGGAACCATATGTGTGTGTGTATACATATATATATATGCGCATGACCAATAAGTGCATATATATGTGTGTGTGTGTTCAATCATACCGGTATATACTATATATTACACATATATAAGATATGCATACATATGCTACACTTACATACATTTATGCAGCATGTGTGTCCATACATCTACACCTATAATATATATATATATATACATGCACGTCTCATATGTATTCTTACACATACAATATGATATGTGTATATTTCTATGTAGATATATAGATGTATGAGTATGATCATATATTACTAATCATATACAATGTATGATTGCATATATATATATATATATATTATATATAAAATACTTTAATATGACTCTCTACATACATAGACATATATATATATATAATCAGAAATTATATAAATTAGATAATTAATAACAGATACAACTACCATGATATCCATATGTACTGTATATGTTTTAACAAACGCTACACATTTTTCGCATCCACCAGGGGCAGGTCCCAGTCACTGGAGCGTGCCGTGTCCACGAAGCTCTTCACCACCTCGGCCTCAGGCTCGATGGGCGTCTGTGGCGACAACGGACCTGGGAGACGATGCCCGGAAAACCCAAGGAATTTCTTTAACGGTGAACTACCATAGTGGTTTAATGGGATGCAAACAATAGTGGTTTAATGGGATTTACAGTGGAGAAGATCTATACATTTCTGGGGGTTACCCTCTGGTAATTTAACGTAGCTATTGAAAATGGCCATTTATAGTGGATTTTCCCATTAAAAATGGTGATTTTCTATAGCTATGTTAAATTGCCAGAGGGTACCATCTGGTTATTTAACATAGCCATGGAATAGATGGCCCTAATCGAAATAGATGATTTTCCCAGAGCTAGAAACCTCCATTGATGGGATTTTCCATGGCAAACTATTAGTCATAACCAGATGGTTTCACATGATGGGATGGAGATTTCCTTGGCGATATGTCAGAGGATACCCGGATAGGTTTTTTCTCGCTAAATAACTATGGAATAACAAACTGGAAAGATCCGCCATTTTTAATGGGTAAATCCTATGGAAAATCACCATTTTTGATGGGTAAAAAGTGGTAAATCAACGAACTTTCTAAATGGCCATGGCTTCCAGTTCGCAAACTGTTGGTTTAACAGATGGCTTCAATAAAAAGAATGGGGAAATGGTTGGATATTTCAACTAACAAATCATCACACGAAGTGGGGAAGCGATCTTCCGAGTGACTTAGGGAATGATGAAATGGATGGATATCTTAGAATGGATGGAAATGGGGATGGCAATAGAAATGGCGACAGGGTATTTATCCATTTAAAATGGGGAAATGGATGGAAAATTTAGAGTAGGGAAATGGATGGAATGGAAATGGGGAAATTTTGGAATGGTGAAATTTCAACTAATCATAAAAGTTTGGAAATGTTAGGAAGTAAGAAGAACGTCTTAAAGATTTCATGGAAATGTGGATAGCAACAGAAAATGGTGTGTTTTTTATCTACACCAACTAACGTAGAGGTTTGACAAACAAAAAATCAGAACTTCAGATTCATAAAATGGGATAAGATGGGACTTCAACCTGCAAAATGAAGGATGTAACCCGAAAACCAAGAACATGGTCATGGGGTATCAGAAGCATCGGGTGTTTTCGTCGCCGATGAGCATAGATGATCGGACTGCTCTGAAAACATTGTGTCAATATCATCACCAGGATTTCTATTGCGGTTAATACCAACATCAACAATCATACATTGGTATTGATGAAATATCATCAGCATTTCTATTCATCATCACTTTCTTTTTGTGAAAAATATTCCTGAAATATCCTCCAAATCCATCGCGGGTTTCGATGTGTTCCCTTTCCGGCTGAGCGTGCCGGACTGTTCGCCCAAGCATCCATATTGGCTGGCACTGTCGGAGAGGGCCCCGAAGGACTCTTCAGCTCCTACGCAGTCCAGGATAGACTTGTGGTTCCGGTCACAGATTTTACCGTTTTTATGTGGGGTGAAACTTTTGCATCAGCGATCAACTGGGTGAGTACTGTACCAGGTGTGATCCAGTGTTCAAATTGCTGAACCACAAAGACATAAGATCCTGCTTGGTCATCTCGTTTGGTTCATCCGTAAAGGCGGACACACATGGTGCAAGATCCCAAACTAATAAAAGTGATGACCCTGATATACTCTGATTAACCAGCTATTTCAGATTATTTTAGGCTACCTAGGGTACCAAAATTAGATCAAAATATGATAAATTTTGGTGACCATAAAACAAAAAAATGAAAATGGTACATAGGTACCCTACATATATATATATATATTATGTAATTATATATTACATAATTATATATATATCATAAATATCCATAGATATCTATAATATGATACCATCCATATTCACCCATAAATTATCTAAAAAAAATGGTGACGACCAGGCCGCCAGGCCTGTGGCGTAGTGATCTCTGCGGGCCGTTGCCGTTCCATGGCCATGTCCGGCAGAAGTGGAGCCTGTGAAGTTTCAGCTGTTTGGAAAATCCCTGCCATTCGTGATGTGAGTAGATCTGTAATCTATAATGTATATATATATACATATAACTATTATCATCATTATTATCAGTATCATTATCATGATTATTATCATGATTATCACCATTACTTTTGGTTTTTGTTATTGTTATTATGGCTATTACTATTGTTTTTATGATTAAGATTGTTATTATTCATCCTTACTATGTCTGTACGTACGTACGTATGTAATGTAATGTGAGTAATGTGTTGTGATGTGATGTAATGTAAATGTTAATGTAATGTAATGTAATGTAAATGTAACTGTAATGACGATAAAAAAAATAATTATTATTATTATTATCATGACTATGATTGTGATTAGGATGTATGTGTATGTATGCATGTATGTATGTATGTATGTATGCATGGATGGATGGATGGATGGATGGATGGATGCTCGCACGGATGTACGTATGTACGTATGTACGTATGTACGTATGTACGTATGTACGAATGTACGTATGCACGTATGTAAGTATGTAAGTATGTAAGTATGTACGAAATATCTATCTATCTATCTATCTATCTATCTATCTACTTATCTATCTATCTATCTATCTATCTATCTATCTATCTATCTATCTATTTAGCTATCTATCTATCTATCTTTCTTTCGTTCTTTCTTTCTTTCTTATCGATCTATCGATCTATCTATCTGTCGATCTATCTATCTATCTATATATATATATCTATCTATCCATCCATGTGTGCCTGTATCCATGTGTATATGTATCCATGTGTATATGTATCCATGTATGTATCTATCCATGTATGTATTGTACTGTACTGATCGGTATTGTACTGTACAGTATTGTAATGTCATGTAATCTATGTGTGTATCGAAGCCATGTATATATTGTTTTACACGTCAATTATATTATATACACTACTGGATACATATATTTATATATATATATCATGCACATAACTTAACACTGACACATACAATATGATTCTTTATATGCCCTTTGAAGTATCTAGTGGATATGATCATAGATGCAAAGACACGGATTCGCAAACGAGAAAGCATCCATGGATTCCCTTTCAGTTCAGTGCATTCGAATATTCGCCTCCTCTTCGGGTGGAGGCTCGGGCAGTTCCTTACGCGTGGCAGGGCCACTTGAAAGCTGGTTCGAGTGGGGCTCAAAAGGGGGGGTCAAAAGTCAAGATCCCACTTGATCTTCTACATGTAAATGGAAGTATGCACAAGGATTCCAGATGCGTGCGCAGTAATTCCGTATCCAGACCTTCTGCCAACTTGAGACCTAATCCAACCATGCATTAACGAAAAAAAATACCTTTTCCATCTCTCCGCCATTCGGCCAACCATCGACATCATGCTTCCAAATGCAGAACCCTCCCCTGAGTGGTCGGACAGGCTCCCAGCGGGGTATTACCGTGCCCTTCCTTTGTTTCTTCAGTTCCTGCTGTCTCAGTGCATCCTGCCGCCACGAAGCACGAAGATTGCACAAATGTTTGGGATGCAGCGAAAGGACAAAATACCAGCAAGTAGGTGCCATGCGGCAGGTTGAGCCCTCAAAATGTTGAGGAACCTGTTGCTGTATGTTTTGGCAGAATCTTCCAGTAAATGACGTCTGATCATCATGGTTTGAAGCCTTTCCCCCAATAGACATGTCATTGTATTCCCACATACGTCAGACCATGTGACCCACCTTCGCTACGAGTGATTTCAATTCCTCTGACGCTTCAGAACTTTCTGCTTTCGCCTGGCAGCACTCTGTCCAAAATAGGGAGGATCGGTCAGCAATGATTCCAGCAGGACAAAACGATTGGGACATCAGCAGGTCATGATTTTATGTTGTGTATATTTCGAAAATATAGGTAGACATGTGTATGTATGTATATATATATATAAGTGTAAATATGTATGTACACAAGCATATAAGATACACGTTCGCGATATACAAGTATAAAACGACGACCAATTCTGAATGATCTCGACCCAACCTGGCCATATCTCGCCGCACCTGCAGTTCTGCTGGCAGCTGCTGGTAGATTTGGGAGGCGTGCCACTGGATGTACACATCGGGGTCCTCCTAGCAACGGCAGAGGCGCTGATCCTCGGTTGTCCAAGAATTGGGGGATGGCCAAATTGGCCATTTTTATCCATTTTTGAGGGTTGGCTTGACAAAGGTGCACGGTTGAAGTGTGCAGAATCGAGAATCGAGGATCGAGGATCGAGAATCGAGAATCGAGAATCGAGGATCGAGAATCGAGGATCGAGAATCGAGGATCGAGAATCGAGAATCGAGAATCGAGAAGCGAGGATCGAGGATCGAGGATCGAGAATCGAGAATCGAGAATCGAGAATCGAGAATCGAGAATCGAGAATCGAGGATCGAGAATCGAGGATCGAGAATCGAGAATCGAGAATCGAGAATCGAGAATCGAGAATCGAGGATCGAGGATCGAGGATCGAGAATCGAGGATCGAGGATCGAGAATCGAGGATCGAGAATCGAGAATCGAGAATCGAGAATCGAGAATCGAGAATCGAGAATCGAGAAGCGAGGATCGAGAATCGAGAAACGAGAATCGAGAATCGAGAATCGAGAATCGAGAATCGAGGATCGAGGATGGAGAAAAACAAGATATATTACAAGATTGATCGGATCGAGGATGAAGAACACTAGCGGCGTGCGCAGTCAAGGTTTGGGAACAATATGCATACGTAGTGTTTGGTAGGCATGTGTGTGAACGGGGCATAGTTCAGTACCCTCATTGATTCATGTCGGCATGTAAATAATGAAACAGTGTACCCTTGGCAAGCCAACTTGCAATGGTGAGGGTCATCGCCTCAGCCGATGCCCGTGATGCCCATGATGCCGCTCTCAGAAACAAACCAGTAGCAAACAAGAGACTTTGACACGTTGAAGACCCAGTTCAAAAACGTTCAAAAGATTCCGATTGGACGCAGTTCGTATCTCTCGGTGGAAGTGTAAGTGCAGTGAATTTTTCTGTTGTAGTCATATTATTCCTTGGAATATTGCACTTTTCAGTCGCACATAGGACGACGCATCGGTTCCAGTCACATGTTCCTCTCCAATCACAGGACAGGCAAAGAATACGTTTCGCTCAGATGCATGACTAAACTCTACCAATTACCAACACTTCCAGTCATCATTTCATTCTTCTCTGACTTTTGTGAGCTTGCGTGCGTGACAGTGATTGCGAAAGCAAATCGGTCGGATAGGAGAAACAGGGATAGCTAGCCTCTTGCGTGTGACCTTTCCGGGTTTCCAGAAAATTAGGCTTACAGTGTTGACAGCCAAACCAGTCTTGAACAACTTGTTGCTGTAGGCAGGGTTGGCTAGCCACCCTCACATTGACATGTTGGTGCGGCTGTTTGGGGCTGGCTAGCCGCCCCAGTGTTTAATTTCAACATGATCTAGAGAGGCAAGGAGATGAAGGTTTGTCACAAAGTTCTCTTTCTATTTCGCCTGCTTGCTGTGGTCGTCTGATGTAGCGGGTCTGAAAGTTTGATGTGGGGCATCTGGGAGATTTTGTTAGTTCCAAGATTAGTGATTCTGGCTTCTGTGCTGAGCAGCACACATCCAAATGTTACCCAATGTCTTTGCAAACTTGCAACCTCCCGGCACGTTTCACATACTGTCTTTGCTCTCTGGCGTTGCGGCTCAGTTGCCCGCATGGGCGTGGAGGGCCATGGCGCATTTCTCATTGGAGCGTGTGTTATCTCCTGTGCCGATGTCTGCATTTCCAGCTGTTTCAGAAATTCTTTCCTCGATACCCTCGCACCTTTCCCCTCCATTTTTGCAGAAAGTGCTGGAAACAAAGCATGAAGTGAATCTAAGCCTGAAGCAAGTGGAGAACGTTTTGTGGAAAATCGAAACCTTCTTGCCCTGCATGGTGAGTGTGTCTCATCCGTTGGGACAAAACCCGTTCCAGTTAAAGAAGTACCAGGAGCTTGTCCCAGATGTTCCCACCGTCTGCGTGCCGTCTCTGGTAACGTCATGCGCTTGCTGTGGTGGTGCCTTAGAGGACAAGGCAGGTAGATCTTCTTCCCGCTTAGTGAACAATTTGCGTGGAAGTGATGAGATGGACAATCGTTTCCTGATTTTCACTCAAGCAGCTGGCGTTCTCTTTGC